CTGTTGAGTTTTGTTTCCTCTTTTTGGTGGTTCCTCCTATTATTTCTAATTCTTACTTACAACATCACTAATGTGAAATTATACATATATAGGAATGTATATGTATGGCTTATATCAGATTGTGCACCATCTTGGGGAGAGTGGTGGGGAGAAAGGGGGAGAAAAAATTTAAACTGAAAAGCATATGGAAGTAATTGTTGATAAATCAAAATAAATTAATAAACAACGAAAAAAGAATCTACCGATCACCTCCTGAAAGAGATCCCCGAAAGAAAACCCCTAGGAATATTGTAGCCAAATTCCAGAGTTCCCAGGTCAAGGAGAAAGTATTAGAAACAGCCAGAAAGAAACAATTCAAGCATTGTGAAAACACAATCAGGATAACACAACATGTAACAGCTTCTACATCAAGGGACCTCAAGGCTTGGAACAGAATGTTCCGGAGGGCAAAGGAGAGAGGATTACAACCAAGAATCATCTACGCAGCAAAAGAGAGTATAATCCTTCAGGGGAAAAAAATGGGTATTCAGTGAAATAGAGGAATTTCAACCATTCTTGATGAAAAGACCAGAGCTAAATAGAAAATCTGAGTTTCAGATAAAAGACTCAAGTGAAACATGAAGAGGTAATCGGGAAAGAGAAATCATAAGAGACTTATTAAGGTTGAACTGTTTACATTCTGTATAGAAAGATGGTATTTGTAACTCATGGATCCTTTGTCAGTATTAGAGTAGTTGGAGGAAAAAAATTGTATGTATGTACACACACACACACACACACACACACACACACACAGACATATATAGAGAGACAGCACAGGGTGAGTTGAAGATGAAGGGGTGATATCTGGATAATAAAATTGAGAGGTGAGAGAGGATTATACCGGGAGAAGAAGAAAGAGTGGGGTAAATTATCTCACATAAAACAGACAAGATGAGTCTTTTACACTGGAGGGGAAGTGGGGGAAGGTGAGAAGGAATGAGTGAATCTTATTCTTATAGGATTTGGCTTAAGGAGGGAATAACATACTCAGTTGGGTATGGAAATCTGTGTTACCCTACAGGAAAATAGGAGGGGAAGGGGACAAGAGAGCAGGAGGATGATAGAGGGGAGGCAGATTGGGGGAGGGGGTAATCAGAAGTCAATTCTAAGGAGGGATAGGGTCAAAAGAGAGAATAGAATAAATGGGGGTGGGGTAGGATGAAGGGAAACATACTTAGTTTTCCACAACATGACTACTATGAAAGTGTTTTACATGACTACTATGAAAGTGTTTTGCATGACTACACATGTATAATCTGTTTTGAGTTGCTTGCCTTCTCAATGAGGGTAGGTGGGGAGGGAGAAAGGGAGAAAATTTGGAACCCAATGTTTTAAAAACAGATGTTAATAAAATACATATTTTCACATACAACTGGGAACTAAGATATACAGGCAGTGGGGTATAGAAATCTATCCTGCCCTACAGGAAAATTGAGGGGGAAGGGGATAAGAGAAGCAGGGGAGAGATGGAAGGGAGGGCAGATCAGGGGAAAGGGTATTCAGAATACATGCCATCTTGGGGTGGGGGGAGTGGCCAGAAGGGGAAAAAATTTGGAACTCAAAACCTTGTGGAAGTGAAGGTTGAAAACTAAGAATAAATTAATTAAAAAAAAAACCCTTCACATCTCTTGCTCTTTCCTCCCATTGCCTTCTGTCTTCTCCAGCAGATGATATCTTCAGTTATTCCCCCCTGGTGAAAAGCCATTATCAATCGGTTCCTTCCCTACCACATCCAAATATGCCCATGTCCCCTCTGTTTGGGAAAAACGAAAAAACACACATCAGACCTTCATTAGAACCTATCATCTCCTCAAGCTTTTATCCTATATGTTTCCCTTTCTCAGCAAAGCTGGGTGAGTTTACATTCCCTGCCTCTACGTCTTAGTCTCCCTTGCTGCTCAAACCTTAGCACTGTCTTCTGACCTCATCACTGTATTGAGTCACTCGGTTTCTTTGAAAGTGACGAATGATTTAATTGCTAAACCTGAGGATATTTCCTCAGGGCTCAGCCTTCACCTGTTTGCTGCATTTGACATTGGTGACCATATGTGTCTGGAGTGTTTGTCCTTTATGGGTCTTTGTCACCTGGCCCTCTGCTGGCCGGCCCAACTGACCTCTCCTTTCTGACTTTCCTTTTCTGCTCCTTATTCACCTCATGCCTTGGAATGATGAACATTCCAGATGGCCCTTTCCTGGGCCCTCCTTCTCTACCCTCTCTTAGTGAGAGGGCTAACAGCTCTCATGTATTTATCATCTCTCTACTGCTGGGCTTCAGTCCCACATCACCAATTGCCTATTGGACATTAGAGCACATAGACTTACACGCAATATGTTTAAAACTGAATTACTCTTCTCTCTAAACTGTCTTTTCCCAATGACCTTTTCTTTTCTGTCAGAAGCACCCCATGCTTCCAATGTGCCAGGTTTGTAACCTCAGCACTACCCTGGCCTTTCCCTCTGGACCTACATGCCATTGGCAAATCTTGCTGTTTCTATCTTCACCTCTCATCCCTTCCCCTCCCTCTTCCTCTATCTTTCTCATCCCTCCTCCCATCTCTCTCCTCCCTTTCACTCTCCCCTCCTCTCTCTCTCTCTTCCTCTCCTCTCTCCTCTTATGGTCTCGGTACTCACTCACACAAGCAATTCTCTTCATTTGGATTCTCCTACATAATTACCACCTATTTGGTGTCCCTGCCTTATCTCTTTCCCCTACAGCCTATTCTACACACAGCTGCCAAAGTAATTTTCTTTTTAATTTTTCAAGCAACAGGTGTTTTAAAAACTAATCTGTTTCTTCCTCTACCCTTCCCATTTAAACTCATTTACATAGCTACATAGTTCAGCAAAACAAATCCTCCCATTATGTTGTCATGTCCAACTTCTCCGTGATTCTATTTGGAGTGATTTGCCATTTCTTTCTTCAGTTCATTTTACAGATGAGGAAACTGAGGCAAACAGGGTTAAGTGACTTTACGTGCCCAGGGTCACACAGCTGGTGTCTGAGGCCAGATTTGGACCTCAGGAAGGGAGTTTTCCTGAGCCCAGCACTGTGCACTATGGTGCCCTCTAGTACCCCATAAGTTCATCATCTGTCAGGTGAGTGGCAAGTTTTACCTGTGTTCTCTCAGTTTATCACTGGTTATAAAGACTTTTCAAGTGGTTTTCCTCTGTTGTCATTGTATAAATTTCTCCAAAAGTATTTTTTCTTATGCACAGATCTGATGTGACTCCTTTACATCCCCTACTACAGTGGTCACCTATTAACATCTAGGATTAAAGACAAACTGTTTAAGGTTTTAAACCCTTCACCACCTCGTTGGCCATTACTGACCCTCCAGCACGCGGTAAGTCAGCCAAACAAGTGTGCCTTGCTGCTTACTGCCCACCACCTCCCTTATCCTCATTCCTCCCATCTTGGCATGAAGCCTTTCCTGATAGTCCCCAGCTGCTGGTACCATTCCTCTAAAACGACCTTGAATGCATTTCCATGGGATCATCAGTTTTATATTTACGCTATGTGCAGTTTTACACACCCATATCCCCCATTAGCATGTAAGCTCTCAAATATTGGGATTATTCCTTCTATCCCAAACACCCTATAGGGCAGTGCCCTACAACATAGATCTTGGGATCGCTGCTTAAATGATGTGGGAAGGGATGAGGCATCTGTGAATGTCATAGGAGGGGAAAAGTAGCCGATTTTAGAGAGAAGATATTTCTGTATGTATGCAGAGATAGGGGAATAACTGGGCCTTTCACAAGCCTCATTCTCCTTGACCTCTCAGGAGCTGTTGATGCTACAGAGATCACTCTCTTCTGGGGTTTGGGGACACCCTTCCTTCCTATCTGAATGCCCATCTCAGCTCTGGGTGCCTGCTGTCTCCTCCACATGCCTGGAATGTTCTCTCTCACTACTGGCCTCCTAGGCTTCAACTAAATTCCAGTCATTTAGACTGGGAACTCCTTGTAGGCAGGGCCAGACTTTGGCCTCCAAATTTTATGTTCCCAGGGCTAAGCAATCCCTGGCACAAGTTTATTGACTGACTTTAGTTACGTATGCTCAATAATATGCTCAAGATAAATCTGGGTTCTTCTGTTACTCTATGGTTCCAAAAGGCATGATGAGAAGAAGATACACTTCTATGATAAAATGAAGGATTGAGCATTCTGATTCCAGGGTAAGAAGCCATTATTCCTCCCGCCTTTCACTGGAAAGATGCAGTCAGTCAGTCAACATCCACAAGAACCCTGTTACAGTCTTTGGGATGGCTCAAGGTACCAGTAATCTACCTTTTTTCCATTCAATCCTTTAATTTCATATCCTATACAATCCTCTATAACCATAAGAATCTTGCCAGAGGCTGGCTGCTGTGAAAATGGAAACTCCTCCCCTTCTCCCCTCCCAAAGCAGTTTTTGCTTATGAATACTGCTACATTAAGCCTTCAGATATCCAACAGCCAAATGAATCGCTCTGTAAATTAAGTTAGGCCTTGAAAGAGTTGGAACAAGTTCAAATCTCTGAGTTTCAAATGGCAGGCCCACGTGTTGTCCACATTCTAGAATTTTCAAAATTGGACATTGTCTAAACAAACTTATTACAGTGAAATCTGAAAAAGCCAGTGTTTGAAAAAAAAAACTTCCCTCCCCCAACAGTTTTTGCAGTTGTTGTAGAGAGAAAACAAATGAAACAAGATAAGATAGATTAGGCTTCATAAAATAATCATTGCGAGGGGTGAAGAAAAGTTGGGACTGCCATAAAAATGCGTGTGTATACATTCTGTGTATAATTTATTTAACACAAAACCATGAGTAAGTAAATTCAATGAATTCACACAAAAAGTTTTTAGGTTATGAAGAAAAACATTTAATGAAAAAAAGTTTACATTTGCTAAAAAAAAAAACCAACCCCAAAACAAAAAATGAATCTTCATTGCCTTGAAGATTGTCATTCACTGCCCCATTTACAAAATAACTTGAAATTTTGTGACAATCAGTCAAACTATTTTATTATATTCACTTATTGCCTTAAAATTATATTTTACTATTTGTAAGATGACCATCATCTTTGCTGTCTTCACTTTCTTTGTTGCCTGGATTTAGAAGAAAAAACACAAGATAGACATATGTAAATATTTATCTTCTATACATATGTATTAACAGCAGATAGATGTAATGGCATTTCTAATTACAAAGTTATTTAGAAACATTAAAGCAATATCCCATTATCTAACCACAGTACTTGAAACACAATTTCCTATTAGATCCCATATACTAGTCTTCTTTTCTACAAAAATTCTACAAGAGAACCTGTTCAGTTTAGGTTTAATATTTTTCTTTTCCAAATCAATGAATAAAAAAGGAAAGCTCTGCAAGACAAATCACAAGTTAACTTAAACATTTTATTTAACATAATCAATCAGAAGCTACACTGGGGTAAACCTCTCAGTTTATTGATATGTAGACTTGTATAATTTCATATCACTTTTGAAATGGCTGAAGGAAATTCTAAATTCAAAAAGCATTGACTTTCAACTGTAGAGTCCTACACTGGGTCAAAATGGATAATATGTATAAACAAATTAACATGCACAGAATGTTAAAATTCATATGACGAGAGGACTAAGTTACACTTTTTATCATGAAATTCAAGATAATGCAACATTCCTTTGAATTCTTATTTCTCACAAATGTGCTATATTCTAATATTAGGCCAGTTGAAGAGTCTGGTTTCCCTCTGCTTTAATCCTACTACAGTGACCAGAGGGCTCTGGAAAGTCATCTCTGTGCCACAAACTGGGCCAGGTTCCACTCAATTCAAAGGTTTTGGATCTAGACCCAGTGAGGGACTTCACAGTGTGTGGAGGTGGCCTGTGGAGCAGCCAAACAAAGTGCCAAGATTGTACCACAAGATAAGCTGCCCTCCCTCTGTAGGCAAGTAAGGGCCCAATGAAGTTATGGTGTGACTGTAATATAATCTGTAGAAGAAATATTATGGAATAGTACACAAAAATTCCTAACTATTCTTCCAACAAGAACAAATTCTTGAGATATTGAAATAATAAGGTAAGGAAGCTCCTTTTGAATACCAGGGAAATTGTAACTATAAATTAAAGTTAATTGATGCTTATTAAGGCTTTCAGGATAGGTGCTTTAAAATGTAAATAGTTTAGGGCAAAAAAATCTCATGGATGTGGGGCCTTCAACTATTTAGAACAGGTGTGAGAACCCTAAAGAGAGAGAGACCAGATAGTCTGCTTACTTTACACACAATTGTAACAGGTTAGTTGTATAGTTTTCTATAGCTGCCAAGGAGGTTGGGGGAGGGGAAAAAGGGGAGAAGGAAAGCAAATGACAGTAAGAAAAATGTATAGCTGACAATGAAGAGTCTGGGACGATTGTGGGTGTGGAAATATCATTATATTACAGCATAGTAATTGATGTTCACAATGATGACTACTACTCATCAAGAAAAGGTTAAATTACATTTTGAATACTCAGCTTTAGAAAGCAGAGAAGTGTGTAATAGATTTTAGCAAGGTTTCTATCTTAAGTGGTTAAAAAAATAAAAAAAGCTAGTGCTTAAAGGGCAGAGTGAGGGTTCAGTTATCTGTAAAATTAGCTTCTACTATCCAAGCTTCATATTTATCCAAATCTGATACTACTTGGATAAACAGGGCATTATGCTGAACCTAAAAGAATCAATGTTTTACCATTCATAACAAATGGTTGCTTTTCACTTTTGTTTCAGAATAACAAAACTAAAAGCAAACTTGGTTACCTCCCTGCCCTACAGTGCTCATTTAAAATTTTTGCTTTGTTAGGTTAGGGAGAAAGCTCAACATATTCCAAACACTTAGGCACTCCTCTGCCCCAAGACAGACAAGATCTGTTTCATCTGTTCTGGAAAAGTTGACCACATATGTGTTACCAGCACAGAATAAGGTAAAGATTGGTATAGAAGAAAGGGCTTTGCATTATATTTTATTCAAATTGCCTTAGATAGCAAACACACATTACCTCATTCCAAAGTCATGTAAATGATTTTTAGATTATCTTATATAACACTGAGAGTTGAACATAAACCTTTGAGAAATTTAGCAAAAAATGTGATATGCCCATTAAAAAGAAACATCATAAAATATGACATCATACCTCTTTTGAACTTCTGGTAGCTGGTCTGGTCTGCTTAAGTTGTGTTTTCCTGTTTTCCATGAGTTTGAAAACTCCTGGTGATTACTTAATTTTATGGGCTCTGCAGCGACCTTTTCTTGAGTATGGTTTTTGTTATCTTCTAACACAGCACTGCTGCTGGTTTCTGTAAGCTAAGAAGGCTCTGACTGGGTTCCTTGGAGTAGCAAACCCGATTGTAAATTGTCACTGACCCGTGGGACAGATTTTAGAATACACCTCTCTGGGCTATACTTTTCAACATCAATTGGCTCTGAGAGTTTGCTACTAGGAGTCTTTGATTTTATTCTCTTTCTCAAAAGACTACTGTAAAAAGTTTTCTTGAAATTTGAGACTTTTTCTGGGGTTGATTCTCCTGCTGTGGTGGATGGGTCATCTTTGCTAAGGTTAGCAGATCTTTGCAGGTCTGTATCGCCCGCTTTCTTGTTGTCAGGAAAAATCGGGGAACAGTTGCTTTTCCAATCTTACCCAAAGGTGAGATGTCCTTTGACAAAGGATTAAATCCTATCCATTCTGAACTGTGTCTGCTTCTTATGGTAGACCTTAAATGTAACCGCTCTTCAGTCATACCTCTATTTTTGTTCTCAGCCCAAGCTATCTCCATCACTCTCAGCAAAGGAGTACTATAGAGTTCTTCATCAGTTTCATTTCGACTTCTAATTCTAAAGGATTCTTGTACTCTATCCGGCTTTATTTTCCAGGCTTGGAAGCTGCTTTTCAACAATCTTTTTTAGACTAGGTATCCAATGAATGTCTTGAGGTTGTTTCTTTCTGTTTCTAGTTAAACATAAAATTCCTTGAGGTACCAATGAACTTTTAAAGCTATCAGGGCAAATACCTGTGCATTTGTCATAGTTTTCTATGTTCCTGGATGTTGATACAGGATAAGATCCTTTCAGTCCTGTATCCTTTTTATTTTTACTGCTGGACTTTAATCCAATCTTATGGATTTTCACAGGCTTCTTTGGCTCTTCTAGCTTTGTTTCGGGTGCAACCCTGGCAGCATGGAGTAATCTAATGCCCCTACTTCTAGATGGTGAAGACTTCTCGAAGTATAATCTTTGTTATTTCACCACTTCTAATTTCAGAGATCTTCTTCAGAAGGTTTTAACGATTTCATTTGTGGCACAGCAGCATATAATGCTCTGGCCATATAGCTCTTCCATTGTGTTAGGAATAGTAGGTATCAATCTCTCTGGTGTAATGAATGACAGAATAAAGATAATTATGAAACAAAGCCCATGCCTCCGCTCACTAGTCTAGGGACTAATTCTTCTTTATGAATTAAAGGTCTACCCAAGTTATTGTTTTGTAGTCTTGCGTTTTCCTGGCCAATGATAATAATATTTAGTAAGATGATGCAAATCTCTGCCTACCCAGGTTAAAAATATATGTCTATTTAGATATAGGTATATATGTTGCATTACATGTAAATATAATATATAGACATACATAACTTTAAGATTTGGCCAGTTTGGTTGGAATACAGAGTACATGAAAGAGAGCAATATGAAATAAGGTGGGTTTTGGGAGTTTGTGTTTAATCCCAAAGGACGAGGAAGCCAACTAAAGATTCTTGGGCATACTAATTACTATGGGTTAGATCTGCACTTTAGGAAAATAACGTTGAAAACTGTGTGAAGGGAAGGATTGTGGAGAGGAGGCCAATTAGGAAGTTATTTTAACAGTTAAGGGCTAGAGGCAATTAGGGCCTAGAAGTAGAGTGCTGGCCACAGTAGTAGGAAAAAAGGGATACATCCCTTTATCCTTGGAGAGAGAACTGACAAGACTTGCAATTGGATGGGGGAGATTGAAGTCAAAGATTCTTTGTATAGTTGCTAAGTATAACTTATAAGAAATGTCTAAATTGTCACATCACAAGAATGTCTGAACTACGTTTAGATGTTAGCTCTCCTTATTCATCATAAAGTAAAAATTCTACATGGATAGGTTATGTCATTGTGATTCAGTGAGGGACCAGCCCTTTGGGTTGAAGGTTAGCTATAGCAACTCATGAAACCTCTACTGGCATGGCAAGGGCAAATCATAACTTGCCATTCCAAAGTTTCACAGAAGAAAAAAAGAAAAACCAAGCACTAGAGTCATCATGTAACCTACGTTCTAAAGAGTCTTCATCTCCTGAAGAATTGTGTAAATCTCTACCAATGTCAGGAGACACATTTGCAGTTTTTTTTTGATGGGGGTTTCAAACATGCCTGGTAATGCTATTAATGAAGAAAATAAGTAACATTAATGTATGCAATAAAAACATAGAACGTCATATATGCGTATGTACTGTATATATTACAGATATGTATTTTTTAAAAGTAAAAAAGTTATATTCCACCCTTTTCCAACAAGAAAACAATGGGACAGAGTCCCCTTCCATTCTATTCATAAAAAGATCTCTTCTCAAAATCCCTGGCATGCAATCAATCTAGATGCAAACTCTTGACTCTCATTCCTACTTCAAACAATGCAACAGACTCCCTCTGCTCATTAGGCATAATGATTTCTTTTCAAAGTCCAAGGCCCCCAACCTAGGCTGCAAACTCAACTCTCCTTTCCTGCTTCCTTCCACTGGCTTTCAGTTCTTGACTGGCATTTAGGCCAGTCTGTCTGCTTCTCTTGTTGCTTCACAACCACCTTTATTCTTCCCGACCACATACCGCAAGATACAGCCTAGCCCTGCCCAGAGGCATAACTATGCCAACTCAGAGTTATCATGGGGCTGGTTTGTTTGTAGCTGAAAAGATAGGCTATCCCACCAGATCCGACCACAACAATTGGCCAGGACCTCTCAAGAATGCACGCTCCCCCTTCTGTAAGGAGTTGGGGAGCACTTCTATCAGCTCTTTTAAAATTGTGCTTCTACAAACACACTGCATGACATTCTCATGGCCTTCTGTGCACACTCTTTCACCTGCTAAATCCTCATTCATCTCCATCTTAGGGTTTAAAACAAAGTTGTTCAGCATCATACAGGGCCATACAGGCTCGGTCACTTTTTCAGTATGAGCTCTGCCAATCACTAGGGTGCAGGGAGAGTTTGCAAAGCTTGTGCTAAAGTGATTCTGTGAGTGGTTTGCAGGCTTCTTCTGTAAAGGAAAAAGAAACATTTCCAAAAATAAATTCAGTATTTCTTAATGTTTGCTCAGATGACATTCATAAGTACACAAATGTAAATGTGTAATACACATGATGATATATATGTATATACACACATGTATTATGTATATGTATAACATGCACACACACACACACACATGTAAAAATGATCTCCACATTTCTGTAATGTACCTTGACCTTGGGGGTTAATCTCTTCTGCTTTTTTATTATCCTTCTCTCAAGACCATGTTTTATAACAATGTGTGCTTGTGGTTTTTTTAGTACCTAATCTCACCACATCTGCCCAAGAGTGTACAACTGTTAAGGAAAGTAACCAACAATTAATACAAATAAAATTCATTCAAACAGAACATAAATGAACATTTTTGGGATAAAACAATCAACAAAGAGAAAACCAAACCTCCCTAACCACTGATATCTTCTCTATTTCTAGTCACCCAACTCACTTCAAGGCATTCTCTCCCCCACTTTCTTGCTCGATACATCCAGCCAAATGTTGCCATTTATCTCTTCTCCCCACATCTATCAGGTCAAACTCCTCTTTTCTCTTCACTCACAAATACCACCAGATACTGTATCTAAAAGCTGCCCCCCTACTCTCACTGCAAACTGATTTGTAACAAGTGCCGAATTCCTGTTTTCCCTCCTTTTCTCTTTCCTGCAGTAGTTGCCAAAGTGATTTTGGCTAACCCCAGCACACGAGTCTTACCCATCATGTCTCCACTCCTTCCTGTTACTGACAAACTCTAAAAGCAGCTTTCTATCACTCCCATGAGATTACTAGCTTTTCCAGCCTTGTTTTATTTACACCTTTTACCTCAAGCCCCGCACACAGCTCTGCACTGTCTGATCCAGCCATATACTGGCCTTCTTACTGTTCCTCCTACATCTGTTCCCTCTGTTGGTAGACTGAACGTCTTAAGCTCTTTGAAGCCAGGGGACTGCCTGCCCCCTGCCTGTAAAAACCATCGGAAAATGATTCCCTGCTCAAATACCCATGAGATTGTCTTTTGGTGCTCCTCTGTTGGAGTCAATCGTCTGTAGCGCATCAAAAACCTGGCTTCTTCTTGCAGAGGAGGATCTCCTCCAGACCGACGGTGTGCTCAGGGTCTTGTGGGGCTGGATGGTCTGTCTAGATTTTGGGAATAGATGTTGTTCTCTCCTCCACGAATTTTGACAAGGTGATGTTATCCCTGCTCGGTGCAGACTTCTTATTAGGAATGGCAGGAAGCTGTTGGTGTGGGTCTTTTGTACATGGCGGTATCCCTTCCACTACACTGGGGGAAGGCTCTTTTTCTGGTGGTTTAGAATGCGTCTGCTGCAGTGGACATTTTTATACAGTTTATAAATGACAAGATGTGCTATGGTTCCCTAATAAATGACTGAATATGGCCAAGGTGCATCAAAAGCCTGTAACAGACATTTCATTTGAGTCTGACAACAACCCTCTGAGGGCTAATCCTACAGAGATGATCTCTGCAAAGGCACCCCTCGAGGCTCAATGAGCTTTGGGGACAAAAGTCTCCCCCCTGCTGCCAGGTAGCAGTGAGATGGATATAGCAACATGTATGTCTCTGTATAACAATGATGCCAGCCACCATTGGTCCTGAGAATGTTAGTTTAGGCCTTGCCTTCCTACCAATAAAAGCTACGCTACCCCAAAGTTGGAAAGGATTGCTTCCCCAAGGCAATTGGAGGTAGATGAGGTCCTCAGACAAAGCCTGTCTGGCCACTTGTTAGGAATGCTGGCAAGTTCACTGGTTTGCTGTAGATGGGACCCCTGCCATCAGCTCGAAAAGCATGAAGGGAGTTTTCCATCACTACTAGAGCTCAGTGCTGCAGATTTACTGTCTACCACCACCCAGTGGCAGCAACCATAACTACAGGGGCATACTGTTAGGAGTGTTGTTTGGCAAAGGATTCATTTCTTTACCTAGCAGCACTTGTCAGGGTAGCAAAGAACTTTCTCTTTTCCCAATGACCCTAGGAAATAGGGACTATATGACTTGCCCCCCCTAAGTATAAAACTAATAGCAGCAGCACAAAGCAGAAGCTGAACATGTTTAGAGTCTGAGGGCCCTACAGTGTACACGTCACCTCCCTTTGATGCTCTGAGGTCTTGCAAGTTTAGGGTCTGATTAAGGCAGAGTGTATAATGGGCAAAAAAAGGTTTTGCTTATTTTCTGAATCACATGCTATGTATGATGGGAAATGTTAAATGAGATTTTATGTCTCAGCTTTTTTTTAAACACTGCAATAACCATAGCAGACCTAGAGAAACTCAGGGCACTATGGCAAGACCTGATGCTCCCCTTATAGGCTGGAATACCTTGAGTCGCTAGTGTATGAGAAGCCAACATAACAACAAATAACTGAACTCTCTCCATTTAAAAAGATATTCAATAGGAAATCATTTTTGAAGATAGGATAATATATACCACTACTTGTTAAAAATGCAGTTAGGGTATGGATCGTAGAGAAATGCATAATTTAAACTACAGACAGATTAAATGCTTGTCTAAAATATTGTACCTTCATTATTGACTTTCTTGGGACACAGGTTGTGGATGCTGTTTTGGTCGTCTCTGGGCTTTCTCCTTTTGCAAGAGGTGTATTGGGAGGTAAATTTTCATCAAATAATTCGGGTCTCAGAGGGGCTCCAAAAGAAACTCTCCTCCTTTTTGCACATGATTTATTATTCTCAGTAACATCTTCTAAAAAAGTATATATATATATATATATATATATATATGTATATATATGTATACACAACATATACATATATATATACATACATACATAAACGTTTGTTTTTCATGTACTTAGCTCCACATGCTGAATACAACAAAAAAATATGAATACACAGACATTATAGCTTGAAACAAATTGGGATGTGAAGGAGCTTTCCAAAGGCTTCTCAAGAGGATGTTCTGTGTTGCCTAGAATCCAACTCTGAATCACTCTTGGAAAGCACTGTTAAAATATGTTGAGGGGGCTTTGGGAGCAAAAAAATTAAGTGTTGCCTTTCCAATGTCCTCCTCCTGATGGCATCTTTGGATGGGTTATCAGTTATCAATGACCCTAAAAATTTAACTTTTCATTAACCGGATCTGTTGAGGAGGCAGGCAATCAATAATTTTGAGAGGGAAGGAAGCGAGCTGATCAACTTGCATCAGAAAAACTCCCTCTGTCTACAAAATAAGAACCCAAACTAAATGTATCTTATAAACATGTTTACATGTAGACTATACAGACTACTACACGCAAATGGCAGAAATGTAAAATCTCTTTAGAAATTAAGATTTACCCAGTATGTGAGTACTTGAATCAGAAGAGGAGTCAAAATCACTGATATCAAAGTCGCTGATATCAGGTGATACACAGTGAGGCATCTCATCAACTTCATCCTCATCTAACGATCTGTTAGAGGTTTCATCATCATCTTTTGGAGGTAATTTTGGAAGAAACATCAACGGGTTCTTTGTGGAATCGGTAGAGGAGTTACCTGGTCCGGGAGAAAGATATGTATTAGAAACTTCCATTTCCAACAAGTCTTTGAAATAAATATGGTTCATCTTCAATTTCTTTTAATGTTTGTTCTGCATTTGAAGCTTTCTTTGGATTACTAAATTGGTTACTGTCACTGTTCTTCGGACTTCCTTTATTTTTAGCCAAATCTACAGATTCACCTGTGCTCTCTTTGAGAACAGGCTGCTCAGTAGGTGAACCCTCTCTCTTCAGTTTGGGCAGGTGGGCATCGCCACCACTCCCCAAGAAGCACATGTCAGGCCTCTTGGTTTGGGACCAGAGTGTGTGAAGAGAGGGTCCACTTTGGGCATCTACCAGGGCCCTCCCAAGGGCTGACCTCCCTCTCATCCTCTTTCCCACAGCCCTCACTATATTTCCCTGAATTCTCAGCGGGTACTTCTTCACTCTTCCTCCATTTTGAGGGCATGCTCAGTTGCTGTGATTGCTGGTCTTCTTCATCAAGGAAGTTTTCTTCCCACTGTAACAAAGGGTTGCTCCAGAA